ACGTGATGAGCTAGCTGTGATCAGCTCGTTTTTACTGTAAGCACTAAGCATCACATGATCTGTAAATAGGTTTATACGTTTACATTAATAATAGGAGAGAAAGTTCACCATTATAATGCAGCTAGATCGTGAAGGTACAATATATTAACGTTATAAATTGTAATGGCAGAATCCCGTTTGTTGACTGGTTTATTATCCGTTATACGACGTCAAGTCTTTTAGTTAATTGTGTTTTGAAAAAATAGGAAGAACTGCGAAGTTGGTATCTTCTATTACATACATAGTGATCAGTAGCAAACCATCTTCTAACAACGCCAAGTAACCTGATGTATCTTACCGTGGTTTTTGTGCGACCCAAACATACTACATGTGCTAACTATCCATTAGAGTCGCCTTACTTTATTTAAGTTCACAGAAAAGGACACGTGTAACATGCCATACAAAAGAACACATTGTCTGTATTTGTCCTCCAATAAGTTTAGGAAATGTATTATATCATTACTTTCGATTCATTGGTTACAAAGTTACAAACGTGTACTACATATTTATATCAGATTATACAAAACAGCAGAACACAATATCTCACTGCACAATTACAATTACACTCAAAATGATAAACATATTAGACTCTTTCATACTCGCAAATCAGAATAACAGTCATCATTATTTCCCATGTATACCATAGGCCTATATACTGTACAGCTCCTTGTTCTTTATCATTTCTTTGTAACATGTTGTACAATTTATTATCATCCAATACTTAAAATTGATTTTTCTCAACAATGCTATCAAGCATAAGTAAGCCATGTCATTACTAACATTTTTATATATACCAACCAATCGCTTACGACACGTAGTATGTACTATTTCAACCCCGGGGATTACATGAAACACAATGTATCAGCCTATTTTCATTGTGTGACAAGAAAGTGTTCAATGGTATAGACAACATAAGGTTGCAAAATTGTCGAAGCGATGCACTTCTTTTTCAAGACAGAATAGTTACATCACATAAGACTATAACTAATAATTAAAAATTAACACCCTCGGCTGGCGTAAGCGAAAAGCAGAATTAACACTGCCCGGTATTAGTTGACCATTAATACTTAGGGAGCAGTATATTTTTAATATTTATTCTTTTCAGAATATCGATCCATGGGAACACAAATCCTAATCATGACCACAAAATTCGTTCACAACATTTCGAACACATTATCAGGAACCGGTGTCTTTACTCCGACATTTGTAGCAAAATATCCGTTAAACCGTTGAGTCGCAGATTCGCTTGAACGACTACAAATGTACAAACTATTAAAATACGGTTACAAATTGACGCGAATGTGTTTATTACACAACGTGAACACAAATATTTAGCATATTTCATTGTTAGAATTAGCATATTGAGTAATTGTTGTTTAATAGCTGTGTCAAGATCATCCCATAGTCTAACAGTAAATTGTATAAAATAGTTGTTCGTAGACAGTCATCAGTCGTTTGGAGATTGAAATCTATTGTTTGGTAAATTGATGTTATTAAAAGTTACTGCATGGTAAGTTGTAATAGAGTATACTTGAGGTAGGTAATAAGGGGTCAATTAATTAATTATGTTATGATAAAGATCATATTTTCTGCATTTCCTTCTTCTTTAAATCAATTTGCATGGATAATCTCGAGATAATGATTTACTTTCCATAAATTATCAGTGTTTTATCTCTCACGTGATGGCATTCTGTTGGTTTAACCTTTGATGGCATATTCATAACGTCATAGTGATACGATTTATTTTTTATTTTTTCATAAAAGTTTCCATGTCGTATCGTTCGATTTTTCATTCTAAATTTTGATCTTCATTTCATGTATGGCATTAAAACAATATTTCAGATTTAAGAAAACTGCTTCCGATGAGTTATTTAAAAATTAACAGATGATAAGCACAACCAATGGAATTTTCTATGTGACGTTACGATGACTAGTACGATATGTACAATGTCACCTTCATCAGACAAATGACCAGTGAAGCGTATGCACACAAAGGTGTAATATGTGTACGAGTTGTCTACAAAATCTATGTCGATTTCGGCTACACTGTAAGCGTATGTACAGTAGTTGTTATATATGTACCGAAATGACTCGATTCAGCTACGCTTTGTTTAATACTTGGTCATAGATGAGCGAGAGTCTTTGAGCCCCCTCGTCTCGATTTAGAACTGGCCCACTGCGCGGCGTATCCAGAAGACTTCCTTTATCTGACGGCAGCTAACCAGTCTGCAATAGCTGGTGTTTACGAACCAACATAGATCTACCTGTACATTACGCCGATCCTTTCGTCATTTGGCCTGGTAGGGAATGGTCTGTCGTTCATTGTGATGATTCAGCTCTACAAGGACTCTTCATTCTATCTCTACTATGTGGCTGTGCAGTCTTATTGCTCTCCTGTTTTCGTATGTAACGCCATATTCTCACAGTTTTCTTCTTGGATCCCAGTGGCTGTAAGTGTTGATCGTTACATTACTGTCTGTCACCTGTTCAAAGTTGCTACATACTGCACCAGGAAAAGGCCATTATTACTCTGACATGTATATAAGTGGCCATTGTGGCGCTTGATTTTCCAATGTTTTGTTTTGAATGGAATGATGACTACACATCTTGCAATCTTCCGCAGAAATCTCTTGACTTCTGTTTGGGATATTTACACCGTTTTGATCTGCCTACTTATACATTGGTACCAATTTTTCTTAATTCTGTAGTTATTCTATTGATTGTACGACGTCTCTTTATCACTTCTAAGACGCAAACTGTCAAACAGTCTGGAATCAGGTGTCATGCACATAAAGGCCTCCACTAGAAAAACAATAATAATGCTGATGGCAGTTGTGTGGACCTTTATCATACTTTCTCTTCCAGGGATATGTGTCATGGTCTATGTTTTAGTTGGTTAAGAAGATCAGGATGATTGTGTTAAGTCAAGCCTTATACTTGTACATGTGCTTGACACACTTTCTATGCTCAGTCATGTTGCCAAATTCTCTCTGTATGACCGTCGAGTTAAATCTTCAGGGATCAACTCCTCATACAGTTGTTTTGCGGTTTTTGGAAGTAAATATAGTCAGTCGGAAATGTGAAGCTCTCTAATCATCTCTGTAGTTAGTTCGTTCGTAACTAGATAAATATTCATCGTACAATTTCAGAAATTTCAATCGGTTACATTTACTCACACTTTTATTTGATAGAAATTGTAAGATTATATCTTCGAATGGAATTGCTGAAAGACAAGTAAAGGCATGGTATTAAGTAAAAGTATCTCAGTGAAAAACGACTGCTTGATGTTGAACGTTTAGTAAAAAATTGAAACTGTGTTAATCAAGTAGCAGCAAATCAAGTACTGGCCTTGATCATTTTCATAAGTAGATGGAACCATTGTAGGTTCGCTGACAGAAGAGGTCCCGCAGAGTAATGGGTTATCTTCTGTTTCTTCTGTTAAGCGGATACTAAAGAAACCAATCTTGCTATGCTGTACCTATTCCCATACCTACGATCTATATCTTATCTCACCTCCCACGCTTTCCTGTCGGCGGTGTATCTCTGAGCACCCATCTTTATTCGACATTGGCTGTTTCATGGACTCAAACAAATAAAAACTGTTTCTGACTGTTATATTTCTAAGATTTTTGTAAAATTAATGGCTGTTATCAGTAATTTCATTACAGCTATGAGTATCTGTTTATTCAAGTCTTGGTGTAATGAACAACTCCAAAAAAAAGGCGCGGACAAGCGTTGAGATGATAATACGGAAATAAAATGACTATTCAGCAGCAGAATAGTTCAATTCTCATTTCATGCATGAACGATATGAGTTCAGAAAAAATAGCACAATGTATGGAATGTTTTTTGTTTTGATTAGCATGCTTGATATTATGTGTTATGAACACGTATAAGTCAAGGCAGGTATATGTTAGCCGCCCTGCCGTGAAGCCATTTTAGTCTGGTGCCTTGCCTGTCTTAAGCAACTTTGATAGTCTTCTGGACTTCATTGTCACTGTGTGTGCATATGTATGTACTCGAAGGATGGTTGACTTTGTAGTGTGTCCTGTGAGATGTCGGTGGCAGGTTGTCTTAGAAACTGTTTACATGGAGAAAACTCAGCTAGGGGGTCTAATTTGAAACCGGAGTACCTGAATACAACCAACGAGGGAGGGCAGGTTACCTTATACTTTTCCATGTCCGATCAAATAATCGAATCCCGGCCGTCTTGGCGAAAGGCGAATGCGGTATCCCCTGCGGATACCGACCAGGCATTTGTGGGTTGACGCTGTGATGTAATTTATCCTTGTGCCTTGATGTTGTGGTATATTGTTTCCTTATATGTTGACGTTGTGGTATATCCTACATTTGTACGTTGACGATGTGGTACATTTTATTCTTGGATTTCGACGTTGGGGTATGATCTATCCTTGCATATTGACGTTATTATATATATTCAGTCCTTGTGTATTGGCGCTGTTGTATATTTCATCCGTGTTTGTTGTAGCTCTTCATTCTATTCTTGTATATTAATGTTGTTGTATATTCTATCCTTGTTTATTAAGACTATGATACATTTTGACCTATCGACGTTGAGGTCAATGTGATCTTTCTATAATGACGTACTGGTATAGTTAAACTTGATCTGTCGCAGCAGTAGTGTTTCCATTTGATAGATGCGAAATTGTCGTGAAAACTCGTTTTGATTAAAATTGACATAGAAAACAAATATCTGATGCTGAGAGACCGAGTTGTAAATATACAACGCGAACATACGTTTTCATATCTGTTTGCGATATTTCTTTTTCACTCAGAGTGTATGACTTTTATTTTGTGAAACTACGTCTGATAATCCAAAGCGCATTCGATGCTGAACTCGAATTACTGTTAGTAACTCGAAAACAAACCTGATGCGACAAATAGACTACAGTGTTCTTAACATATGGTAAGAGACTGGAAAATCAATAAAAGTCAAAAAATCGATTTATTTCGCAATATATTAACAATGTTGTTTAGTATACATATATATTGTACATTTTCAGAATACTATGCATCATCTACAAACATAGCTGTGTAATTATGTATGTAAGTATCAGATCAGATTTCGAACAAAACATTTAACTTAACACAAACAAAATGGAAAGCCAAGGAAGAGGACAGTGGTTACTAAATAACTTGGTTATTTTTTTTTTTATATAAAACCAATAAGATTTAAAACAAAATACACTAATAATAACAGCATGAACACTTCTTTGCGTAACGATGAACCTACAAGAGAAAAGACATTATTATTGTTTTGCCATATTTCATGATATATAGTTCGCTTACATTACATCAAAATTTATAATAAGTTCCTCTTTCCAATATAATATTTCAATATCAAACAAAACATGTACATATAAATTTAACTACTGTTTTCTAAATGAATGATAATTGTTTTACCTCAAGTATCAATGCATGTATATAGAATACTGAACTTTTGTTACGCAATTCAAATGAAGAAACGTGAAAATTTCCCCTAAAGGGATCAAACATCACAGAGGAAAAAAATCTGTTGTAAAATATAGAAAAATTATATTGTTGGAAACAAATCAAACAAAAAATATTTTTGACATATTGATAAGGACAGGCAGTATAATATTAAGTAATTCATGATTCTATTTACATTTTAATTAATGAAACTGTGTAAGGTTACCGAGAAACTCATGCTGCTTTGCTTTAAAGCTAGTATATCATGATACTATTTACTTATACTACATGTGTAAGTCATACAACGGAATGGGATGATACTAAATAATTAATTATATTAAATAATTAATTATACAATGTAATTCTTGAGACAATGTAATGATACTTTTCAATGATACCATGTTATAAATGATATTATATTATGATACTATGTAGATATTGGCATTATGTAATTTTGTCGTATTACGGTATGTAAATATATGTAGTTAATGATACTATGTTATTTATGAGACAATGTAATGGTATTATGTTGTTCGATGTTATGACTCATTTTTACCTGCGGATGTATAGCTGAATCCCTCCGCCATTGTCTCACATATGTAGTAGGCAACGTTGTTACAGTTCACATCATTGTACCTACCACCATATAGTTCAGTGCAGTAATCTGTACCGCCGATGTTATTAGGCTCTCCCCCCCAGGGACTGGAAAATTTACAAGAATAAAAAAAAGTTAAATATAAAGAGGTGCGTTGAAATCATAGTAATTCAACATTAAAAAAATACTCCCGGTCTCTCCGAAATTCAAGGTAGTATAAATAGGGCGACATGGGCGCAATACCCGTTTCATACAAACTCAAACTCGATAAAACTTTGGCAAAGTATAAAGAAAGGAAATTTTCACATGAACACCCTGCAAAAGTAAAAGGATAATAAGACTTTGATTTTGTGGACAACTCGTACACATTTTACACCTTTGTGTGCATACGCTCCACTGGTCATTTGTTTAATGAAGCTGACAGTGTGCATATCGTACTAGTCATCGAAAAGTCACATAGAAAATGTTATTGGTTGTGTTAAAAGAACTTTTCCTAATTTAGCGTCTTCTGTTTCATCAACGACACCCACCATGGAAATGTAGGACAAATCCACGTAGTGTCACGTCCTCGCATCGAGAACTCCGGTAGTGACGACAAACCACCATAAAGACAAATGAGCACAATAAAAAGCATCGACCTTCATATCACATTAAGAAAAATTATATTCCTGATAATGGACATAGGAGAGTTCATTGTACTAAGTGTAAAGGAGTACCTACCATACCGATGAAACGATACCGCTGTCTGCTACCGTCGACATCCAAGGATAATGACTCATGTTTTCATAAGAACAAACCATGGTAAGATCTTTATTGTCATTATGTAAGGTCGATCTTTTCCATTTATTTCTCTTATCTGTTCGATTGTGTCTTGTCAACCATTAATGTATTTTGTGGTACCTTTTGAACACAATTTTATACCGCTATATGACATTTCGCTCTGAAAGTTAGGCCGTTGTTTAACATATCTAATTAAGAAATAGCGATAACAAACTTAAACCGTCAAAATCAAGTCGGCCATTTTGTTATCCAATCAGTCTCAAAGTGAAACATGCACAACCATAAACCGAATGAACCTTCATATTATTTGAGAAAGATTTATCAAATATTTCAAGATGGTTGCCAGTTCCGATCCGTCTCAGATAAAAAGTGGAAACTACGGACCAAGGTAAACTAACATATTGAATATGAGACAGATAAGTTCTTCTCGAGAAATATTAATAACAAACATAACATCGTTCGTGGCTGTTTTACGTACAAGACATTGTTTCTTACGGGGTTGTTTAACATGACATCGGTCTGTTAAGGGTTTATGACATTGTTTTATATGGGGTTGTACGTACATGACATTGTTCTGTTCGGGGTTGTTTTGCATGACATCGGTCTGTTAAGGGTTGTTGTATGTTTATGACATTGTTTTATACGGGGTTGTACGTATCTGTACATTACATTGTTTCCTACGGGGTTGTTTTACATGACATCGGTCTATTAAGGGGTTATGACATTGTTTTATATGGGGTTGCACGTACATGACATTGTTGTGTTCGGGGTTGTTTTGCATGACATCGGTCTGTTAAGGGTTGTTGTACGTTTATGACATTGTTTTATATGGGGTTGTACGTACATGACATTGTTCTGTACGGGGTTGTTGAAGGCTGTGTCGTATTCCCAGTATCCCTCCACCTTCTTGTCGTTCAGACCTGTCCACCAACCGGTGGCAATTTGGGATATATTCTTCAATGCATTTGCAATAAAGGCCTAGTGAACATAAAACATGTCCTTTTCAAGGGGAAAAAACAATGATTTCAGATATACACAAGTGGCTGATCATTCTATGTTAGAACTACACTTTGTAAAATTTCTAAATCATAATTATGGTCAATTTTTTATTTTATTATTTATTTTGATCTTAACTTCTACAATATCCTAATATTCAAACTTGTAAGTTAAAACCTAGACGAAATACTGCAGTTTCACAGACTATTGATAATAAATAAAATGTGCACTAAAACCTTTGACCACATGACACACTATTTTTGCCGTACTAACCGCTTCTTCTCGAGAATTAATAGCCAGTAGATATCCGTCCAAAGGCTCGCTAACTTGTACACATTTGTCACGCGATCCCTGCCACGTGGTCATGTCTGCGTTAGTTGTGTTGCTAATTAAGTAACAGGTAAGCATACCATTGGCTGCCCGCGATATCCATCCATTAGGACAAGGCTGGTCTGAAACATACAAAATACATTTCGTTACCAACTAGGGCAAGGTGGGGCTCAAACATACAAAATACATTTCGTTACAATCTAGGGCAAGGCTGGGCCAAGACACACAGAATACATTTATTTATCCGCTAGGGTAAGACTGCACTAAGACATACAAAATGCATTTATTTATCCGCTAGGGCAAAGCTTGGCTGAGACATACAAAGTACATTAGGCCGAGACACAGTTATGAACATTACCACAATGTTGGCTGATTGATCGAAAAATTAGAGGAAATTAAATCCATATATATTATAACAGCAGTAAAATTGATCCTTACGAAGAAATAATAAATAGAAGAAAAAATCTTAACAACACGTCTTTAGCGCTTTCATTTCATCAAGGAGGTTCTTCAAACTGGAAAAGCGCTAAAGATGTGTTGTCAAGATTTTTTTCTTTTTATATTCTATATAAATAAAATATATTGGGATAAAGCCGATAAGTATATCACTTGTAAATTTATGATGCACTACTTACTGTTGATAATCATATCTTTATGATTTATAAACGTATGTACCTTCAGTTTGAGCTTCACAAATATATCCTTGATTGGCATAGCATGAAAGGTCGTTTACGATTCCGTCCTGGGAAACCGTCCCGCAGTCTTCGTTACCCAAATTGTTCGGCTCCTGGTTCCAATTGCTGAAACAGATGAGAAAATTTTCTCAAATTCACAGATCACGCGTATTTTCATCATCTAAAATTACCCAAAATAACATACATGACAATTGCGATGACAAGTTGGTTTCCTATCATTTCTAAGCAAAGATTGGTTATGAAAGTAAGTATAAAATAACATTATTATAGGCTTTCTTGTTTTGAATTATTATTTATCAGCCGTTTCATTGTATATATACATGTTTCATGACTGAAAATGCTTCTCATTATTTCAAAGAAGGTGTGGTAATGTGTTGTTTGTCATAAGTATACTAGAGTATGCTAGTTTCTATAGGAAAGATACTTAATACTCTCAATACTAAGGTTCTCTTTCTGGAAAGTTGACTAGTCAGTTCTATAACATGATTGCTTACATTAAGCTCATGTTGGCTTTGGTATCCCTGTTCCAGACCCAGCTTCCCGAACTAGGTTGAAAAATCAGACCGGTCCAGAACGCGTAAGAATCATAGCGAAGAGTTTGCACCCCGAGCCAGACCTACAAACAGATCACCATATGATATTTGTACCAATAAACTTACCGGATTAACGATAAACTCTTACTTTCTTTGCAGGGCAAACATTGAGATGTGAGTGCAGACGGCCTATACAAATCAACCTTTTAATCATTTCCTTCATAGAAAAATGTTTGGGTGTTTTCCTTTTACTGGTTAAAATTGCTTATTTCATTCCTAAAGCAAATTCTTAACATACCACTGTATATACCGTTATACGCTTTTAATGTTTAAAACTGTTGACCACGTGCATATTATATAGAAAGCGAAAACGTCTACCTCCTCGTCCTTTGACTGGATTTGGATAAGGCGACCTCCCATCTCCGAACACGTCGATGCGGCTGCCCTGTGATTTTGTGGTTGCTGGATGTGGAAATAGTAGCATTTGTGTCCCGCTCGCACCCAGCCGTTCGCGCATCCCATCTTGTTTTCGTACTTTGTGTCATCTAGAATACGCCATAAGTAATGATAAAAACGAAATTTTAATAGCAAATAGAAGAAAATACAAAAACGTATGGTATGGTTATGGTAGCTTAACGCAATGTGTCGAAACGAAGTGCAAACAGAAACAGCACAAACCCGGTTAAGGATTGCCAAAAAGTAACTACATTATTTATATGCTTTAAAAACTCTTCTTTTTCCGATATAGCTATAGTTTTAATAAATCATTTCTCGAAAGGAATACATTCCATGCGGAACTGTTATGAAAAACAATTAATACAGATGATGCAAAACAATGCAATGGGGTCATGCCAGGACTTGAACCCTGGAACTCCGGTTATCTTACTGTCGCTCAAACCAACTAAATCATTTGATCAAGGATAATAGTCGCGGTACTACTACATATCTAAACCTACAGTGGAACTCTCTAGTGTTTAGCCTGCAGTGGGAAGGGACCCTTCAACATGGTTAATACAAAGTATGGTTGACACTTACCTATTCTTGGTGTTTGACAGATATATTTCTCAAGTCTTTTACAGTCGGCGTCCGCGAACCTGCCATTGTCATAAATAAGTGCGCACTGTTCAGTTCCTCCCAGATTATTTGGTTCCGCTGTCCATTCACTAAAACAGAATATATTGTTAAGGAACTTGTGCTACCTTGACAGTTGTGTGCCAAATGTAGCTGCAGCAATCTGCAGAAATCGTAACTTATCATTCAATGTAAGAAATATAAATTATAGAACACAAAAATGTTGCTTTATGTCAAAATGGGACAAATTCGACGACGATACGTAAATATAACAGTACTGACCAAAGAAACTCCAACACAAAAGTACGTACGAAAAAACTGGCGAAGTACAAGGTATATCAAGACATGATACCACAAACAGAATCATATATTCACCAGTATGAACTACCAAGTGGACTAGCAACATTGAAACACCATCGTGAACTACCAATAAAGATACACCCATGTGAACTACAAACAAAACCCGGGTTCAAATATTAGATGTTTCAAAGGGTTAATGATTGCCTACACCATTCACTGTATGGGCACCCGCCATTACATTGTATCCTGTTAAATAAATGTAGTTTCAGCTGACGAGCATATATAAACTTATCGGACATATTTAATTAGATATGACTAAATTAATTTAACACATATTTTGAGTGCAACTTAACGAGAATGTATGGCTGTCGTGTAGGTAATTTACAGTGTAAGATTTAACTGCTAACCTACTAGATACATTGGTGTTACTATCTTTCACAAATGCACTTATTTACATACAGCCATAACTACAGAAATTCACAATTTAAGATTGCGCTAATGTAAATCGAGTTAGTCATGTAAAATAAAAATAGGAGTACACTAATGTCAGTTCGTCTGCAGTTAAATTGATTCAGTAGATGTCTAGTGGGTACAAAAATGGATTCGGGAGACGCTTGCTGGGATGCATATGTACATGTTGCTCTGGTTGACTGGTGAACCGTCGTCCCAGGTCCAGAGGCCTTCGTGTGCCTGGTCACTCATCCCAACCCAGTACAACTGGTCAGTCATTTGTAGCTCAGCTAGCTGTGCACGGATGTAAGCCTACGTAGGATGAAACAGATTTAAAATTATCAATATATGGCTACTTAACAACTCTCGAAAATATTTGGAAACAATTTGTAACATCGATTGTATACAGTGTATTTGTATGTAAAACTATGACGTTAAGTTACGTCAGATTTGGTTATATCCCCCAAGTATAATGATCTTAACGAACTTCCGAGACGTTCGTATGTCAGTTACGCTGGGCATGGTCCTGATACAATAAAATGACGCGGGGCATGCCAATTGCGATAAAGATATTAAGTTTGTGTGTGGGATATTGGTGGTTGGGAGCTTGATCCTGAAAATACCAAATGTCAATATAGTAAAACAAATTAATAAGAGTTAATTGCACGCACCTGTTCACTTGCGGTGTCGAGCTTCAGTAGATTGGCGCTAGTACCTGGATGTAGCGTCTTGCATTTCTTGGACGCGTCGCTCCAAGAAACAATGTTATATTCATCTGTCAAATCACTGACGTAGTAACAATTTGTTGTCGTCACAATCCAATTAAATGGGCAGCCGCTGCCTGGGAAAATATACAACCCTTACATAGCTCATTTACAATATGTGTTTCGCTTTACACTATATGTTTCGCTATACACTAAACATTTTAAATTAAAAAGACGAATTTTGAACATGGTTATTGAAATATGTTGATTATTAACATTCTAATATTTTGCTTCCTTCTTCGAATTTCAAGTGATTATATGTCAGTAAACAGTTGTTGATTCTGCTCTCAGTCCCTGAGTTCGACTGTATTGTTGTAGTTGGAACCTATTAAAGCATGGTTTTCATGAAATACTAACATATATGAATGTTTCATTATGTATGTAAAATTGTAACGTTATAAATGGTTTGTAACGCTGTATTTCTACATACCTTACGGAACACTTCAGATCTTAATCTTTTAACATTTATTACCACTATTAGGTCGTAATTGTACAAAATACCATCTATATCGTACAGTAAAATTCACATTCATTGGGTTACTGCATCGACGTATATTAAATTTACAAAATTCTTCGTATTTTCAGTGGTTATTTAACAATATCCTGCACACCGTGTGTTAATAGGAAACTCTAATGTTTCTTTATAATAATTGACATTTTGAACTGACCTCTCGGATTATATTCACAGATATAGCCGTGCTTTTCAGAACATTCTTGGTCACTGAGTGTGCCCTGTATATTGAGGGCGCCACAATTTTCGATGTGATGACGGTCGTCTGGTTCAACGTTCCAAACCCTGTCGATATGATTATTCATATAATGCATAATTAGTTGACAGCACTTTCCCTTTGAAAAAATATAAATAAATATTTATTCAAAAAACACGTTTTTAATTAGTTAATTTATGTTATTTGTTTATCATTTTTATTTACTTATATGTTTTTATTCATTTATTTCATTTGGCTCTTTTTATTTGATTTTCATTTGTTCCATACGTATCTATATATGTATAGACTTTATGTCCAAATTCGGTTGGTGAAAAAACTGAGATCGATAGTGGAATTGGAGCTGGTTTCTTGCATATCATTGAGCCACTGTATGGACGTGTTAAAAGTACACATTCTTTGTGTTGGTTAGCACACAAAGGATAAGCGATAGTTGACAAGGCTATCTTACACTGCGCCAGGATTGGCTAGGATTTCTGAGTCGTCCTTCCCCCACGACCAGGCTCCGGGGTGGTTGTAGTCAGTCAGATCAGTCCACCATCTCTCTGCCGTCATGTTTACAATGGTCCGTGTAAACAGGTCCTAATGTTTTAACAGAAAGACGAGAATTTCGTGTAATTACAAACCATATTTCTAGCTTCTTTAATCCGAATGCGTCTATCTTGACATGAACATGTGTATCTTCGACGGGTCAAAACAAATCTAAGGTATAAAAGCAACACTAACCTAGGGTTTGATAACTCGATCCTTTGACCGGACTCTGATATATTATCTCCTGTATCTCCGGCGAGCGTATATAGCAATGTTCAAAACGTGTCATCAAAAGTGGTGCGATGCTATCATAGAAATATGTGCTTGTTGTCATGCACATCTCGTGAAATACAAGTTTAAGCTCAAACGTTGTTTTTTCATTTTATTTCATCCAATGTTGTATTACTAGGATAATATAATGAAACAAATGTCGTTTTCAATAAAGACTTTAAGAAGAAACATTAAAAGTTTAAGATACTTACAGAATGGTTTGTCTTTGCTTTTCAAAAGTAGATTAGTACATAATGATAGATTTTCATATATGTCTAACAAGACTATGGACTACTTTCAAAAATGTTTGGTAAAATCAAAGAAATCTTTCTAGATGTCAGTATCTGTTGTTTTCTTTAATATAGCAATAAAGGAATGTAAACAAAAGATGATGATGATGATGATGATGATGATGATGATAATGATGATGATGATGATGATGATGATGATGATGATGATGATGATGATGATGATGATGATGATGATGATGGCTTAGAAGAAAACAATGTGTTTTTGTTTTGTATGCTTTTGAATATGTGCATTTGTCATGTTTATGTCAAAATTGTTTATGTAACATCTTTGGCTGAAAACAAATCATTGAAAAAGATTAATCACCGAGACAGTCCGTCTCTACAAAAATGGAATAAAACGTATTGTGTGTATTACCCGATCGCCTGCTCCATTAAATTGGAGGAGAGTGGCGCCAAATTGACGACAGTCCGTCGTCGCCTGGTCCCATGTGAGCCCCTGGGAACTGAACAGGAAACAGTTGCCTTGAATAAGAATCCATTTCCCCACCGGACATTGATACCCGGAAACGGCACCTGAGATTAAGAAATAAATTCATGAAAACGTACAAACCCCACAGGATATTTTTATTCAAATAGGGTGAAAATAGAAAATGATATATGTATTAAATAAATTTGTAATCGCTTATTCCGAAGAAAATGCGGAAAGAAGCTTCAAATTATGATTATGGCAAAGTGTTGCATCATTCTTTTTTAAGCGATTGTAGTTTTTTTCATTATATATTATACAATTAGCGCTGAAATTGTCTACTTAAGGAAATATCTCTGGAGTTGTAAAAATGTGTCAGAATTATCTTCGTATTCATAAAAAGTCATTGGTAACAGTGGCAACAACCTATATTGGCTTATTTGGAGTTTCTTCTCCGAAAAGACCGTCTCCTTTGGACTTGGTTTTCATATTTAAGGATGCGCCTCTTTTTCAAAGTATAGACAAATACAAGTTTGATGATCGAAGCTTGTACCACAGGTACTGATGGAAACCTTTAAGTCGACTGTCCATGATCATCTACCGGTATTTCCGGAATGCATATTGGTAACATATGTAGGGCAACTGGCTTTAGAAGGTCATTTAAACATGGAAAAAATTAAAAGTCAATGAAAGAATAAGATGACAGTTTAAGAGAAGATTAAAAGGGAAATGAGGAAAAACCTAATCATAAGGAAAACATGAACTCCAGACGATAACTGGTGATGTGTTGGAGCCTATATTTCCTGCATTACATGTGGTACACAGCATGGTGTCTCCCGTTAAACCAAGGAAGGTATGAAAGTCATTAACGATCTCTAAACCATATACATAGTGGACAAGTATTGTCTTCAGAGCCGATTCGTATTCTCAAGGAGTGAAATACTTTATGTTTACATATATTAAATAAGAAACAGCAATCTCAATATGACGCTTTTGAAAGGTAGAAAATGCATTTTTTCTTTGTCACCCATACCACGTGAGCAAGTCTTTATAACGATAGACATTTGAGTTTTGTAATGAGGGCCATGAAATTGGCTATACCAAGCCATGGTATTGAATTATACGCACATGATAGAGCCTGTCCCTTGTGGGGGACAAGAGGCTTACTACAATATGAACAACGTATCTTTGTACCGATACATATATTAGATGACAACATTGTGATCTCTTAACCTTTCGCTAAAACCGGAAGTTTAAGGATGGTGTGGAGATTAGTGTACGCCAAACATCTGCCACTTGACGATCAAGTATTGAATCTAAACTATTTAAAGCTATACCATACCCAACAGCAGGCACAGAGTCAGGGAGACATACTCCATCCTCGTCCCCACGTGAATATCCGCCATCAGAATATGATGTACTGTACCCACAGTTTAACGTTTATCAGCGGGTAGGGGCAGCCACGTGGAGTATCAGCATTGTCGTGCACTTGTTTAAAAAAACCAAAATTCAAATATATAATTTATTGGTTTTAGCAATGCAAAATTCTTTACGTCAGCATCTCGCATTGGGAGGTCAAATTTCTGTATATCATTATCTTTTTTAAGATAAAAAAAACAAGTTATTTTTTTCCTTTGTGGAAAAGAATTTACACCATAAGGTTGTAGTAAGTTGACTATACATTGATAAAGGTTTTGTTCATAGAGATACGGGTGTTATCGTACTTTGAGCACACGGGTACATCAAACACAACCAGCCTTGTATTGTGACAAGCTACACTAACCCTACTGATCTTAAACAAGCACAATTCGATAAAAATACGTCATATTAATATTGCACATTAGTTTTTTTCAAAATATATTTTTATTGTATCTACACACGACAGGCTGGGAGCTGATATCGTGATACTGGAAAAGAAAGAGTTGTAAATTCAAAATTCAAATGTTAAAAACAATTAATCTACTTCCATGAGGAGTTTCGAAATATTTATAGACGTATAGATTGTTTCATGGACATGTTTTGATGCAGCTGTATTTTATGAATTTGTGATATTCCAAAGTTTGGTATTAATTAATTTTAAAATGCCAATTATATATAGACAAAAATACTAGTAGTGTATCAAATGATGAGACATAATCAAATGAGTATTTTTTTTTTAACTATGTAGATAATAATATTATGGTATGCTAGTTGTGTATCAAATAATAATTTTTAATCAAATGATTCATATCACATACCACGAGCATTAGGTAGGCGGTGTACGTGCTATTTAGATAACATTGAGTTTCTAGTCATGACTTATTATTATCAAAGTGAAACTTTGTTGCATTTCAACAAATGTTACGGAATATTGAAGATGTGGATTTAGTTTTTTGCATTTAGATCTTAAGCACCTCTGACTTTTAATTATGTATATACGAAGGCTGAAAGCATTTAAGTCTCTGTCGGCAATTCAATGACATCATTCAAAAGAATTATCACAGATTCTATATTGTATTAGGTATCAAAAACATGTATATATACTAGCGGATAAAAGAAACTGTGCATGCGGAGAATTGTTATAGAACATGTATTACCAACTGTATATGCATGAAAATTCACACACATGACCGAGTATGCCACATACACACTATCCGTATTTCATTGACAGTTTTTCCCGTGTAGTTTGCACTCTATAGACGTTGGCCAGTTTGCACGTTTTTCTCGTCAAGCCATCCAATTCGACAATGAAAGTTTATTTTTCAACTGTTGGGTCACTCTGTTGAGACCAGTGAACAGTAAAAACAGCAATATAACGTTTTAATTTGTAATTAATGCTAAGCCGAGGCTCAATGAAAATGACCGCCTCCGGATTATTGGTATGCTTCAAGGTGGTATGGGCCAAGCCGTTGTCTCTACAAGTTTTCATGTCCATCGAAACACAATCCGGGATTTGTGGAGACGACATCAACAGTTTGGCCACGTCGGCGATCAACCTAGTGCGGGACGTCCACGTGTGACGTCACGTCAACAGGACAACCATATTCGGCTTGTCCATTTGAGAAATCGCTTCCAAACGGCAAGTTTGACTGCATGGACAATCCCTGGGTTGCTACCAATGAGCCCGAGGACTGCACGGGACCGATAGCGTGAACGAGCTATCCGTCCGCGACGTCCTGCAATCCACCCAGTTCTTCTGCCACGACATCGTGTAGCACGTCTGGACTGGTGCAGAAGGCATCCGCGATTTACTCGACGGGATTGGGCAGGCATTTTGTTTACGGACGAGTTGCGAGTCCACCTGGATAGTAGTGACGGCCGTTCCAGAGTGTATCGTCGCGTTGGAGAACGTTTCCGTGACGCGTGTGTGGTACAGCGACGTTCTTTCGGCGGATGCAGCGTTAAGATTTGGGGCGGCATCACAGACAACGGGAGAACGCCTCTGATGATTGTTAACGGGAATTTGTACGCGCTACATAACCGTGACGAGATCCTCCAGACCCATGTCGTTCCATTCGTGCAAGGGCAGCAACGTCACATTACGCTACAGCCGGACAACGCCAGGTCACACACAGCTCGTGTCGCTATGGACTTTCTGGTTCAGCAGAACGTTGACGTGTTGCCCTGGCCTGCTGTATCCCCCGATAGGTCGCCCATTGAACACGTCGGGGATGAAATGAAGCGCAGATTACGGGCATTATGTAATCAACCGGTGACGTTGGCTGATTTGGCTGCAGCGTTGGAACAGATCTGGAATGCCATCCCACAAGCATTCTTGAACCGTTTGATAGGCTCCATGCGTCGACGTTGCCCGGCTTGCATTCAGGCAAACGGTGGACAAACGAGGCATTAACTTTGTGAACTCATTATTCTGCTGTGTTTATGTCACTCCTGAGCGAAACTTAATGATTCCACAACGTGGAAAATGGAATGCAACTGTTAATAAATAACAAATAAATTGTCCCTGAAAACCTTGTTGTTCTACGTCATACACATTTATTTTTATAACACATTTTAGGCATGCACAGTTTCTTTTTTTTCCGCTAGTATATATAGGTTTCCATTTTATAATCGTTCGAGCTTCCTATTCAGTGTTAAGTAATTGACAACAGAAATTAATTATAACATTTAATATTGTTGGCTTTGTCGCAACCATCTACAGCTGTAAATATGAATGAGATTCTTCTTAGCTCAGTGTCACATCATCTTTGAAATCGCAGGGGTTACCGTCGCTCGTGAACTGACGTTCTCCGCACTGACACCACGAAAGACCGGATGAATCTCTGAGTGCCAACAGTTTTAATTTACCTGTATGACAACTTGTTTTGATAGGAATTATAGTCTTTTTCTTAAAAAGTGTCTGAGATCCAACAGGTTCAAGTTCAAGTTCTTTATTACTTTAAGTCGGTTGACTTATCAGTTATAAGATATATACAAAACAATACAGAGACAATATACAATATGATACACACACACATACACACACGCCTACACACTCACACACACCGTGGAGAGTGAACACTAACCAGCAATCAGCTCAGATCTCCTTTTGTTTGCTTGTATTAAAAATTTGCCCAGATTTCTAATGTCAGATACATTCTCACAAGTAAGCAGTTGAATTAATTTATACATGCTTGTATGTCTTGCATAATATTTCTTAATTAGTTTCAACCTTATATCAATATAGCAAGGACATTTTAAAATAAAATGGAACTCATCCTCGACATCATTCAGGTCACATACTGTACACAATCTGTTTTGTCTTTCAGTTCTATTATATCTGCCACACTCAATATTTAACTTATGTGCAGACATTCGAATTTTACATATTTGTTTTAATTAATTTATATTTACAGGTTTTGATAAATAATACTGGTGACCAAAATCACACACATATTGATACAATGCTCCTTTAGGAGAAGATTGAATTTTTTCAAAACATTCTTGTCTGATTATGTCACAAAGACGTTCTTTTATAATATGAAAAGTGCTATTATTTAAACTGGAGGATTCCCACACATTTCCAAGACCAATTCTGTATAATTCTTGTTTTACACTCATTAACCAAATGTCATTATTACAAAGCATATCATCATAGCATGACCTTAGAATATAATTTCCTACATTTCTCAGTTTTTATCCAATATATGAATATTCGTAATTTTCTAACTATTTTCATGGGATATCTTCCAAGTTCATAATACACCATAACATTACTAGTTACTAGGTAAATCTACATGTAATACTTACCTGTGATAACACGATTCAATTCAATTCAACTTTTATTCCTCAAGTTTGACAACTTATTCGATAACTATAATTTACAATAAATTACAAATGATATATAAATATATGTATTGTGCATTCAACATTCATTATCACTCCCATATTCTAAATGCCAATTATACAAACATAGACATTTATATAAATTATATTGATATGCATGTTTTACGTCATCTAGCAGGTTTACGAAGATCGCTGATATTATCAACACTTAGAAACTGTGTAAGTTTATACATGGAAGGATTTCGCCAGTAATCTGTTTTTTATGTATTTTACTCTCAGAATATGATAATTTCTGCATATCAAAATAAAATGATATTCGTCTTCTATATCTGAATTGCGGCTCATGTCTTTGTTCTCTCATTGTGTTATTGTATCTACCAGTCTCAATAGCTAAATTATGTGCAGAAAGACGAAGTTTAGATAAACCGATTCGGTATTTCATAGGAATATACATTGTCAAATAGTATTGAAGAATATGGTGATTTGCTAAGTGCTTATATAAAATACATTTAGGTGAGGCCTCTAATAGCCCTCTCAGATATTGTTGACTTTGATCAAATATTCTTTGCTTTATCATATACAAAATACTTTTATGGTTATAGGAATAGTAATTTGTCCATACATCTGCGAATCCGAGAGAGAAAAAAAAAATGTTTGGCATAATTAACCCAGTTAAAGCAATTGCCTGTATTGCTACTATACTTAAAAAGGAATACGCAGTTTGCAAAATACAATTTTTCTAATCCATTAGTTTTAACCAGTATTTTATCATTCTGAATTTTCTTATATATTCCAAAGGATATCGACCTAATTCGAAATAAACCATTGCATTGCAAGTCGACTTCTTAACTTTTAAAATCTTCTTACAAAACTGTAAGTTTACCCTCTCAATATCCGTACCTTTTGTAGCTCCCAAAACTTCACATGCATAATGCAATATACTGCAAACATACGTATCAAATAAATGCAATAACGTTGTACAGTTTAGGCTCAAGTTAGAACAGCTTGAAAAAAGAGCATGCGTGGCGTTTCGCCCTGGGTCAGATAACTGTTTCTGTATATGATTGAATCTATTATTGAATTTAAGTTTTACTCCTAGGTAGCTGAACACATCTACAACTTCCACCTCCACACCATTATTTATCCCGCCTCGGGCAAAAATCCTGTAGTCC